TTAAAATATTTTTTCCTAGGCCCTCCCCCTGGTCAAAATTTTTTTCCTAGGCCCTCCCCCCTCAGACAACCGGCCCTCCCCCCCCCCCGGTAAATATCGTACAGTCCCTTAGTTATCATCTCCTACCCTGTAACACAACTGACCAAAGTGACATCTATGAAGCAAAACTAATATGCAACAGATCTTTCTGGGTTAATACTGTATGTCTATAGCACAAACACACTGTTCTTACTTTTGGGTACCATGCATGTGGGGGGACCAGCTATTTACACATTTTAGGTCACAAATAGGCATATAATCAGTGTGAAATTATTTAGGTACAGTATTGGTACTGAGAGATAAGGTATTTTGGACATGTACCTAATCAATTTTTCCAGTACAGAATCAATTCTGTGAACCCAGTACACAGCTCTAGTCAAGCACCTAAGGCATAACAATCCTACATATAGGGCAATTAAGACGGAATATGCACATCAGGTCCCATCTAATTTCAGAGAGCAATTTTCATGATGTGACTTCTCTCTTAAAAACAGAAAAATTGATTATGCCAGCATATTGTCCTTGCAATGAGTCAGTCCCCTGGGAGTCTTTAGTTGAGCCACAATAAATTCTGTGGTGACAGAATGGTCTAGCTCGCATGCCACTTGGCCGGATCATCCATATTCTATGACAGTCCTGTGGTCTGAAAGCAAGGCCTGAGTAAGTGGTTGGATTTTAATATTTAGCTCAGGCCACACCAATTTAATTTGTTGGTTCTGATTTTTTCAGAAAAATTTGAAGCGACGGGGCAAAAAAAATAAATAAATAAAAACAGGTCTAGGCATCCTATTATTGCCCCGAATGCAACGTAGGTGCCATGAAGTCAACACAAAAGGCTGGGTTTATTTTAAACAATGAATTTTGAACTTTTAATCAAATCACTGCATTGATAGATGAAAAAACTGTAACAACTAGTGCATGTTAGGGGCAAACTATGAGCATATTTGAGTTGATGCACCCACAGAAAAAAAATGGGTGCACAGCTCCAAATTTGGGTGCACTAAGGTGCACATGCACCCAGTATTTCGAGCCCTGCACTTTGAATTCACATTTAAAGATTATTTGTCATTATCTATCTGTGGAATGCCTGCTTAAGTTATCATTCACAAGTATGATATTCATCATTTGTCAAAAAGAATTTGTGGTCAGAAGAATGATTTCTTCAGATACAATTGAATGACTGTGGTTATACTAAACCCCTATTCCTGTATGCCTGTAGCCACAGAGCCAATATTGGGTCATTATCATATATTGGAAATTCAATGCAACGCTAAGCTCCATTTGTATGCATTATTGGCAGTGTCCATAATGTGTTACATTGCAGCCAGCACAATTGCAAGGAAAACATGCATGGTTCAGGGTTTTTCTTCACTTCAAACACCTAGAATTCATCGTATATGTGATGAAAAAGAAAGGTGGCAAATGATTTTTCTAACTGCATGTACTGTATATCCTTTTCCTCATACATGTAATTTATAAAGACTGCAGAAACAGTCTTAACTGTATGTGATACCCTTTCAATGAAAATCAATAATATGCCAAGATAATAAATGTACATATAGCATGCAGAATCAAGTGAACAAATTAGTACTGTTGGTTATAATCTGTCGTAAGCTATCAGATTTTACTTCCAAATTACCAAAATAAAGTTTATTGACCTTCCTCATGCTACAAACAGTGTGTCTACTGGAAATAGTGAATTTATTCTTTTATTATTTTATTTAATCTATTATTTTGAATCAAAGTACCTGAAAGATAGAGTTGGAATTGGTAAATTACACATGATGCGTGTATACAAATTTTGTTTCGAAATCAAAACTGGTAGTTAGTGGCCAAATTTGGGGGCAATTTGCAAGCCTCTAGCGGAACTTCTCAGACAATAGTATCTGTATCGGTATAGCCGGTATAACCGCCTTTCGGCGTAACACACCAGCTTCGCAGGCATGCGGCGCGGCAGCAGCTGGCTATATTACATCGATCGACTTGTTACACCTAACCCTTGAACTTCTAACTCCAGACATTGTTTAAAGCTATCTAATGACAATGCCCCTTCTGTACTTGGTGACAGCGAGTTCCACTCTACAATAGTGCTAGGAAAGAATGAATTCTTGAACACCTCAATTCTTGGTTGATAACTCTGGTACTTGAAGGCATGGCTATTTCTTGTTCTCTTCTGGGCTAGTATTAGGTACTTATAGTTGCGATTAGGTATTATTTTGTGGTTCTACGTAATTGTGAAGTAGCAAATACATGTATGTTCAAGAAGGATAAATGAAGTATGGCATGGCCTGAAAAGAAGTTTTGTCGTTCAGATTTTGTGCTAGTGTTTGAAGAGGAAGACCCTGGAAGCAAGAAGAGTAAGAGGAAGAAGAAGAAGGCTGCGGAGTCTGGGGAGGTGAAGGAAAAATCTCCCGAGGAGAAAAATGATCAGTACAGAAAGAAGTTTCTCAACAACCTCAGAAAGGTGGGCATCATTTGATATAAATATATTATTGTCTATTTTAATTTTTATTTATTGTTTAGGCCACACCGACTTAATTTTATGGATGACATCCGCGCGCGCATTGATTTTCACCTGATCTCATAAAAAAAAGATCACGTCCTCCGAGGTTCTAGGCCTCTAGTGCATGGCAGTTAGTGACAATATGGAGCCGGTTGTAACTCTGGATCGGATGGCACCCAGGCTACCGAACGACAGCAAGAACTCGTGCCGATTCATAAATTCCGCAAAAAGTCAGCATGTGTCGGCTTGTCGTATACGTCGCTATATATTACCGCAAATTCACAATACCTGCTTTGTATTCTTGTGGTTTAGTAGCATTTTTATTTTTGGCCGGATTTTTTTTTAATTCGCCCGCGCACTAGTTTGGGGGTCTTCAGAGGATGTCATCCATAAAATTAAGTCGGTGTGGCCTTAGTTTATTATAGTTGTCAGGGTAGGGTATGGCTAAATGCAAATGTTTAAAACAAGTTACAAGGTTTTTAGCATCCTCAATGCATTAAGTGAGAAAAAGCATCAATGGTACTTTATGTGGTGGTTTTATGTTCACAGGTTCCCCCATTAGTTCTCTGTAAATTCATCATACTAGGAACATGATCTGAATGAAAGTCATTGTGAATGAATGAATGCATGCATGCATGACCCAAGCCAAAGTGTGTTTCTGTGCTGCATGAATGCTCAAAGCTTTAATGCCTAGTTGATGCCGCATTGATGCTGACTGCCACGGCAATTTCATGGTAAATTATAGCTGTCCAAGATTCCGTCCCCAAACTGTCAACCAGCAAAGCCTTGAACCAATTAGAAGGAGTAAAGCCGCATTGGTGCCATTTTCTGTCACGGTAATTATCCAGCAGTCATGCTTCACCTTTGGATTAACCCCATGTGTCCTCTTGGACTGGAACCATGGTTTTCAACTACGCTAATTTGAAGCTGTTTTGTTCCTAACGTTTTAGAAAGTTACATGTCCAATTATGAACTCCATGAAAATGGAGGTATTGTTTTGTATGTTGATTATGAGGGCATGTGAACTTTACAACCTTCGACTACAACTTGATCTATTTTGGAATACGTGTATATCAAACTAATGTCTACAAATTGGGCAGGAAATATGGTACAGTTACAAACATCAGCTAGTTGCTTAGAATTACAGTGGAAGAAATGAAAGTGTCATACTCCTTGTGGTTTTTGTTGTCTGAGTTTTGGTTTGCATGTTACTACAGTGTATGTCCACAAGAAGATGGTTGCAAGTTGCATAATCAGAAAACATGCACCAGATTGGGAGATTTGTAAAAAGTTGATTGACAGCATGTATACGAAGTTGTGGCATAAGGTCTGTCAGAATTTGTACCATTTTTTCATGAAGGAAGCAGAGCACAGTGTAATACTTTGACTAGACTATACTTGTATTACAAATGTATGTTGGTGAAAGACTGAGTATTGAGCAATCACGCCAAAAAAGTACCTACTACTACTTAGTACTAGGCAGACAATGATTTTGGTCTCAATTACATACTAGATTAGCTGTCTGATACTTGGGAGGCCCTCACATATCCCTGTTTATAGCTAAATGTGTCCTTACACAATGGGAGCAAGCCTCCTTCTGATTTGGGTCATTAGCACCCACTGAGTGTGGAAGTACCAGTAGCTAGATGTCTCACAAGCTGTTTTGGGACCACCAGGTCCTGTATTTACTTAGGATAACAAGGCAGACTGATGAGCCCCCCATGTGCCTCTATATACTAGTACATTTTTGACCTGGTTGACCTTTTGATCACCCCTTCCCCTGCTGGGCTAGCCTACGTAGATGTTGGCATGTTGTGGATTTGATTGTTAACAGGACATGGGAACTTAGCTGGGAACTTAGGGAAAAGACTGTTCTTGTTGAGGCAAAGCAAAAATGCCATTGTGATATATATAATATATATGATCACCTGGACATACAAGGTCATATATGGTATGACTGTCCAACAAGGAAATGCAACATTTGGTTCTCTCTACATTTGGACCACATGCACATGTCCTCAATGTACATTGTAGCTATTCACTAATAAAACAGCCAAGCCTACTGAGTCAGACATACATGTAGACAATGGCCTGTAAGTCTACCTAGCTAGCGCTTCGGGGTTTACTGTACATTGTATGAGAGGAATAACCTCCGGTACAGCACATTGAAACCTTGCTTCAATGTAGCCAGTGTATAGGCCCAGTGTACAGGCCACATACCACCTTTAGCCATGGTACATATCAGGGTACATATCCAGGCCACAGTTCTGTCATGTGATAAGTCTGGAACTGAGTCACCTGATAAATATGGAACCACCACTAGTTAGGCATTTTTGTTTGGAGAAGTTAGTCAATTTGAGTTGGAGTTACTCCAACTCAAATTGACTAACTTCTCCGAACAAAAATCAGTAGTGTTATATGGGAAGCTGTTACTGTAGCTTACTCCAGTGTCTAAGGCCCTCTCCTTGACTTTAGTCTGACAAACAAGCGGCAGACATACATTGTAAGTCTGAATTGTGTTGGAAGACATATAAATTAACCCTGTCCAAAACAAAATATCAAGACTAGTGTTTCAATAGTCCATACCCCCATGCAGCAATGGAATCTTCCAACACATTCTGTGGTAGATCCCTGGTAGAACCCGAGTGTTCTATTTAGAACTGTCAGTTGGGGATTAGGGTTTTCAAGCTACAATCACTGTTTTTACTCAAATAAGGTAAAATAAGGTATTTCAAAGGGTTGAATCTGAATCGTGAACACTATAGTCTAAGTAAGAATTTGGTGCCAAGCTACATGTACCTTCACGGTGAATTTTAGGTCATTTGGTTGTCGTATAACGCATAGGAGCCAAAAAAGGAACATTTTTGGTCAAAAATAGCAAAAAAGTCCCATTTTACATAATTCTAAACACAGGACAAAAGCATAAATAACATTCTGTGGAATTGTATCCAAGGATCTCCCTTACCAAATTTCAGGGCTTTTGGTTTTAATATTAGGTCATAAATGTAGGTGCCAAAAATGTACATTATTGGTCAAAAATAGCCAAAAAGCCCTATGTTACATAATTTTAAAGTGGTGTATGTCATAAGCGTGAATGACATTCTTTGGACATGTGTCCAAGGTATCCCCATAACAAATTTCATGTCATTTGGATTTAACATTAGGGAACAAGAGTCAAAAATGTACATTTTTGTCCGAAAATAGCCAAAAAGCCCTATTTTACACAATTTCAAAGTGGCGTGTGTCTAAAGCTTGAATGAAATTCTTTGGACATATGTCCAAGGTATCCTCGTACTGAATTTCAGGTCATTTGGATTTGATATTAGGGCACAGGAGCCAAAAATGTACATTTTTGGTCCAAAAATAGCAAAATAGCCCTATTTTTCACAATTTCAAAGTGGTGTAAACTACTACTACTCTAGTCTTCAAAGGCCTACATGACCCTTCATATACACAAAATGGATGACCAAGGGTCTAGACCAGAAAGGTGGGGCGGGGCCTGTGGGCATTGGTGCCATTTCCTGTCACGGTAATTAAAGCCTGGATGCCTGAGTAATATGGTGTGACCGGCTGTTGTCAGGGGAAGGAGATCATACATTGCTAGAGTGTGGGGAGCCCAGAATGATAAATGATGATTAATGGTCAACACCTCAGTGCGGCATCAATGCCCAATTGCCCAGGGAACTGGATCAATGCAGCATCAATGCTCAAAGTGCCAGATATGTGCAGCACCAATGCTGCACCTGTGCAGCACTAAATACCTCTTTCGTGTGGGGAATGAATGAATGAATTGAATGAATGACAATTACCTCACTATAAAATTCATAATGCTATGAACATACATGTACATTGTACATTGTATGTTCTCTCATGCATTGCAGCTTACTATGGCAAAAGCTGTTGCATACTGCAAGTGTCTCTGACCATGAAGTTAAGCTGCTGAACTAATAAGCCATTTATAAATTAAAGTCATGCATACATTTCCCCTGGTGGTTGTTTTCAGGCTGGGTGTGAGATGGAGGAGGAAATCTCTAGCACTGGAAAGAAGACTATCACCTACATCAAGGTGTTTGCTTCCTGGGATGTCCTGTGTTACTATGCTGAAGAGCTCAACTTCCGAGCCCCACTGCAGGTAAAGTCACACAACACTTACAAGCACTACATTGTATACAATGCAGGGCTCAAAATACCTTACAAAGTACTAGTGCAGGTAACATTCATTATCAATCTATCTTCAAAAGACAAATTTTACCAACACAACAGTTTCTTTGCATATATACAGTTCATAAAGTATTGAAATGTTTAAAAAAAGTTTCATACTAGCATCATTTCTTAATTTTACTAACTTAAAAGTTTAAGTTCTCTGCTGTCTTCAATGATGCTACTTTGACTGTTTTTGACTACCAATCATACATGTGCATCTCCAAATGCCTTAAAAACCTGGGGCTGGTTTTGTTATGGCCCAGTGCATTTAAGGTGCAAGTAGACATCAGAAATACCGGCACAAACCCCATTTTACCAGCACTAACCTGCATAAAACAGATGGTATTTTGAGTACTGCATTGCTTGACTCATAACTGTATTGTCTGTTATATACAAATATACATTAAAAAGGTACATGTAAAATGGCCAACTGCCTTTTTGGAAGGTACAAAAGTCATGCAGTGATCATTGTGTAGCATCCTATGCTGGCATCAATAATTCAGAATGTTGCAAATGAAATACAATTGCGAGAGATTGCCTTTCTTTCTGTATTGTTTAGCAGTATTATTGTGTTATGGGGTTGAATTGTTTTTTTACTGTATTTGTTTATTAAATTTGATCCATTTTTATATTGTTTGTAGTATATTTGAGTACTTATTTATTGTTATTATGATTGACACATTTATCTAACCTGATCATAATTCTTGATTTTGCTTTGATGGACACATGAATTGCTAACAGTTAAGCAGTGAGGATATAATCGTGAGTAGAAAATGGCGCTATCGATTCGCGCACATGTTACTGGGAGAGACGAAAGAGCAAATGGTTAGAATTTACAGAGTACCAATTATTATGTCCTTCTGCATGGAAGTGTTTTGTGCTTGGTTGTTACTCTGCTGTACTGTGTAGCAGCATGGCTTTTGGAGATGAAATACAGTATGTGCTTTCACCCTTCTATAAATGATTGAAAAACTTCATTAATGTCTGTTGCAAGCTTAATGCTATCTCTTTAAAATTCCCTTCAAGCTTAGCCAAAATTAATAGGTTGTAAAGCCACTCCAGTTAGAGTTTTAGAATTCATGTTGTGGATAAAACCAAGAATGTGACTTTCCCAACTTGAAAAATGCAAGGTTGCCCAAATGCAACTTGCTAAAGCTTCAAGATTGATAGTATTATCTTCATTTGACAATTCTGGTATATACAGGGTATGAATGTTAGAAACAGTATAATGAAAGACTAGGAGAGCAATTGGTCAACAGAAAATAACAACATACTTTTTGAGTGTCCGTTTTTTATTCAAGATCATAATTTTTGAAGAAATTGGTCAATTTGTTTCAACTTTTATTATGCTTATAGGTGAGGTGAATCAATGTTCTTTTCATCAGAATACTCCTCACATGTATATACAAATTATATTTCAGACTGACAAAACATGCAATACTACAACTATGTATATTATCTAGTAAAATTTTTATGGTTGTAGAATAAGAGAATGAAAATGTTTTAGTTGCAAGTCAAAGTCATGGCTTGATTGTTTTTCTAACCATCAGGGTGTTTTTACCGATCATTATTTCATCCTTTGCATTTTCCTTCTTTTTTTTTCCAAATTCTTGTCTCTGCAAGCATCCAATAGCTATACTAGTGCATACATGTGTATGGTTATGATTTGTTTTTGATTATAAAAAAAAAAAAAGAATGTTTTGTGAACTTTTGATGGTTACTTGTGATGATGGTCTGCTATAATTTTCCTTTGTTCCTTTATCAAGTTTATGTTCATGTTGCTTTATGTTGCATGTACAACTTACATGTATATTGAATGATAACCTCTTTATTCATAGTCATACTTTGCAACTTATGATATAGACAGGGCTCTTGTTTCATCATCTCTTCCGGATATATGTTAAATGTTTCGTATTTGTGATTCCATCTCAGGCTCACCCTAACCCAAGTGAAAACTGGTCGGCAAAGGTACTGGAGAGTCTGCACATCCCAAACATGATGGACCAGGAAGTGCCAAATAAACCACTGGACTACTACACCTGTGTCTTCAAGAAGTCCAAACTGGACAAGTGAGTCATTGGAAACGTCTTCTGGAAATCTTAGGATCATAAGGCCACACCAATTCAATTTCTTGGGTAACGGATTCCCCCGCTTCATTTTTTTCTGATTTGCAAAAAAATGAATAAATTCAGAACCAACTGCAAAATGCTCATATTTTGCCCTGAACAGTTGAAAACAGTCTTAGTTGTTACAGTTATTCCATCTTTCACTGCAGTGGTATCATTAAAAGTTCAAAATTCATTGTTTAAATTTTGAACCAGCCTGGTGTGTTGACTTCATGGCTGCTATCGTACCATTTGTGGCCATAGTAGGATGCCTATGCCTTTTTTTTATTATTATTTTTTTCGCCCGCCCGCTCCATTGTTTTTCTAGAAAAATCCGTTAACCAAGAAAATAAATTGGTGTGGCCTAACTGTCATGTTCAATGTGAAGGAAGTAAAAGATTATTTTAATGAATAATGTTATCCAAATTTAAGTTGCATGTTGCTAAATGTAATGATCAATACTGTTAATTAATATGTCAAGTCTGACAGTACGTCTGAATCAATGTTATCACAATCATGTCTTTTTAAATTTTAAGTGCCAATGTGTCCTCATCACCTGGAATACTAGCTGTCACATAGCCATCTCAAGTGGACAGTTAAGTTAAAAGGAGAGGTTGAAGTCCTATAAACTCCAATGATATCTTATTATCTTTTTATCTATTTCCAGGTTCTTGGGGAGTGAGAACCGTGATACCTTTTTCTCTAATACACAGAGACACAGAATAGTAAGTATATGGAAGGAAAGAAGGAACATGTGTTTTAAGTATTAATCTCTTACTACTACATGACCACTAGTAAGACATGTGCTATGTACACATTTAGGGAAAGACATGTACCGATAGTATTATAATATGTTGTTGGCATTGGTGACTCTGTGGCTGTGGGTATGAATAATGGTCAGTTCAGAATCTGGAGGTCCTAGATTCATATCCTGTACATAAAATTATTTCCCATTAGGACAATGACAATGACAATGAAGTTTATTGCATATTCATGCCTCAGTGGGGCTAAATGCACTCTTAAGTTACAAAATGGATTAGGCAAACTATACTTTGTTCTATCTATATCTAAGCTGTATATGTTTCTTCTTTCTTCTTTAGACATTTGTATACAAATTTACAGAGTTTTTCTAATACATCATGGTTAACTGAAGACAATATTAATTTTTTGTACTATATCGTAATTTGTTAGATGCGCCATTTTTGTTCTGTGTTTCAACAACAAAGGTAAATCATAGATTGCTATATACATGGGCACTCAACAATAAAGTGGACTTCATTTTCTATAGTATTCATATCGCAAGGACCAGGAAAGGTTAACTTGTTTTAATTCAAGATCACTTCAGAATCACTATGTCTTTGTATGATCATTTTAGAATTATCATGGGCTTAATGTAGCACACACAGTTGTGTGGCCCAAGGGCTACTGAACTGGAGATGGGCGCCACCCTATGCACCACAACTAACTAATGTATCTTTCTTGTTCCTTTTTTTCAGGTGTATGAGATACTTGCAACAACACCATATGGGAAAAGAAAGAGAGCTGAAATTGGTAAGTGCATGACCATGAGATTTTTTAAAGTCAAGATCATTGTAGAGTTCATGTTGATCTGCAGCTTGGTTGAAACTTAATGTTTAAAGTGCTCATGACACCAAAATAACTCACACAAACAAATAACGGCAGTGTACATACAATATAGTCACTTGAAGTTTGTTCTAATCATGATGAGTGCGAAATTGAGCTTGTACGGCCTTCTTAAAGTGAATTTGTGGAGACTCTCCAGCAAGCTTCCCAATCGCCCACTTCGGGCATCTCTATTTGCATCTCTGTGTTTAATTTTTGCATTTCTTTGCTTTTTCCTGAGCTGACATCACTGGGTGATGTCAGCTCAGGAAAAAATACGGACATACAAAAATAAAATGTAGAAATGCAAATCGCCTGCCAGGACTGGCTTGTGCTGACTTTTACAAGGCACTCACTGGGCATTAGAATTTCGAATGTAACAGGAGAACCGTGCATATTTATTGTAAACGTGTCTGTTAGCCAGGTAATACTAGTTTTGTCAATTACAATCAGCTAAGGTCAATTACAATCAGCTAAGGTCATATTTTGGTGTCATGAGCACTTTAATGTGAAGACCGGTTTAAGCTGTGCTTGTACTCATGAACTGCTGCACCTAATCTTGCTTGTTTTGATCAGCAACTCAAACTTTAGATTTGTACCATGCTATGACATCAGATTCTACTATTCAATGCTAGTGTCTATTTAGATACAATGCTAAATGATTCTTTCCGTGTAATATGATACTGTCTCAGTCTACAAACCTAGGGAGTCAGTGCCAAGAGAAAATCTAAGCTATGCCAAGAGAAGTCCAGTCATGCGACTCCAAAATCAATTTTTCCCTATTCATTGGACCCGTCCCAAGCCTTGCAGTTACGCACACTGATTGCTAATGGAGGTTTCTGAGTTAGTGTATGGGACATCTGTGTGAGATGTTGTAAGTAAATCTGCCCCTGTAAAGCCTTGATGGCATTACTGTTGCTGCGATAAAACTATCTGCATCATTTGTCAATATTAGAATGGTTGGTGAGTCGTTTGAGGACGTGAGGGAACTACAAAGTCCACGTAGCCATGTACTAGCTAAGACCACACCAACTTCATTTTATGTCCACGCGCGCATTGATTTTCGCCTGTTCTAAAAAAAAAATAAATAAAAAAAAGAGCACGTCAGCCAAGCCTCTGGCCTGGCTCTAGGCCTGGGTAGTCCATGGTAGCTTGCTATAATATATATAGCGACAATACGGAGCCAGTGGTAACTCTGGAGGATGGCATCCAGGCTACCGAATTCGAAGCTCCATGACTCAAGAACTCAGTACATACGTACAGTGTCGAATTATAAATTCCGCAAAAAGCCAGCTTGTGTCTGCTTGTCGTAAACGTCGCTAAGTACTACTGCAAATTCACAATACCAGCTTTGTATTCTGGTTTAGTAGCATTTTTATTTTGGGCCGGATTTTTATTTTATTCACCTGCGTGCACTAGTTTGGGGGTGTTCAGAGGATGTCATCCATAAAATTAAGATGGTGTGGCCTAATGAAATCACCCTCTATTGTAAGAAATATTTTCTATAACAAGAAATCAGAGATTTTAGACTCCCAGGAAGTGTTCGAAGCTTTTTTGACATTCAAGTTGGCATCATTTCCTGTGTCTGACCTTTTGACTTGTCATTCTGCTTGTCAATCTTTTCACCCAGTCATGTGGTGATAACCCACTCAATCTGATTGAAAAAGCAGACACAAACCCACAACTCAGCCACCCCTTATAATACTTCCGTAACCAGAAGTAAACAAATAAATCAAAACTAGCTTAAGGAAATGGAAAGAAACCTACAGTGGGGGTCGCTGGAAGACAGACGTAGAATGTCCAGACTGTGCATGATGTACAAATGACTAATAAACTGGTGGATGTACCAACCACTAAGTATCTGATACCAGCCCAGAAAAGAACAAGAAACAGTCATGCCTTCAAATATCAGAGTTATCAACCAAGAATTGAGGTGTTCAAAAACTCGTATTTCCCCAGAACTATCGTAGACTCGTTGCCACACCAAGCCCAGTTGGGGCATCATCACTAGAAAGCTTTAAACAACTCCTGCAATCAAATGTGCAAAGATTTTTGGTGTGTTACGCCAAAGGGTGGTTATACCGGCTATACAGATGCAGATACAGAAGGATGAGTGCATACATTGTAAGACTAGTGCATTGATTTATACTAAGCAATTAGGCTAATACATGCAGTATTATGTTAATGTAGAGTGAGACAGAAGATTTTGAGTACTGTGTCTGTTAGTACATGTAGACTAAGTTATTCGTTGCTTCTCTCTTTTTTACAGGGATTGACCGTCTTATAGATGAGGGTGCTTTTCAGGCAGCCTATCCACTACATGATGTGAGTTGTCTTGAAAACACATTGCCTAAGCTAGTTTTTGTTTTAATTTTTCGCCCTGTAACTTCATTTGTTTCTCAAAAAATTTAATAACCATTAAGTTTGTATACCTAAAAGTTGATATGCAACCTAAGGCTTGTAAAAAATGGCGTATATTAAAGTATGATAAAAAGCTTCATTTTAGAGTTTACATTTCAATTTTGAAAATGAAAATGAAATACATGACTGTACATTATGTATGCCTGGCATGTGACATTGTATATTCATCGAATTTCAAAGTTGTTGTAGTTTTAAAAATTCAGTACAGAAAGTATAGTGCTGTTATTTTCAGCTTACAGTAAACTCTCTTACTCAGTCAAGTCAAATCAAATTAAACTGTATTCAGTCAACTTGACAGTCTGGAACTCGACTGAATTGTGTTGATTTAACATTTTGTCAATTTAAAAACAATAATCAATCAGCAACATTCTATCAGAGTTAAAAGTATTACATTACAACAGCATCCTCACAGTTTTAAAACCTTTAAAACCTAAGGGCTCCTGGAAGAAGCCGTCCCATTCCATCCCAGCGGAGCAGCTGAACAGGCGCCAGGTTCTGTACGACTACTGGGCGCGCTGGGGGTGTTGGTACAAGTACCAGCCACTCGACCACATCCGGGAATACTTCGGAGAGAAGATCGGCATCTACTTTGCCTGGCTTGGTAAGGCCGAGGGGTAAAAAGATGTTGTGTTTCCAATTTTCTGACCGACCCAAGCCTTTTTCGGGGGAAGACAGAAAAAATGGCTGCAGCTTGGGGTGTTGGTACTACATGTACAATGTAGTACCAGACACTCGACCACATCTGCAAATATTTCTGAGAGAAGATCGGCATCTACATGTACTTTGCCTGGCTTGGTAAGGCCGAGGGCTAAAAAATGTTATGTTACCAGTTTTCTGACTGACTCAAACGCAGAAAAAATGGCTGCAGCTGGGGATGTTGCACAAGTACCAGACACTCAACCACATCCAGGAGTACTTCGGAGAGAAGATCGGCATCTACTTTGCCTAAACAGGATCCAGTTTTTTTTCTATCATTGGCTAATGTAAACAATAGGCAAGTACATGTAATACTGACATGACACAAAAAAGACTGCATTTGCGCATTCTAACTTGTTAAAGCACATTTATCTTTGCTACAATATTATCCTTGTGAAAATTACAATGTGTATCAGAAATTTAATGTTTTATGATCCTAGTATTATTGAAATCATCTAAGAAATCCTGAATTTCAAATAGCTGCTGCTGCTGCATGGGCTGCATGCCGCTGTCAATCAACTTTGCTTCTTGCGTGGGGTATGAATCCACCTTTGGGACCGCTCAAACTCAAAGTAATTCCTGGTTGGGTAAGATGGTTGGTTGCTAAGCTGTGGGTCTTCACCAGAATTTGGTGTTGGGACTGTTTTAATGTGGTGTGTGGCCAGAGGTGGTAGGCTATGGCAGGTGGTCACTCTCCATTATTCTGAAACAACCCAAGAAATGTGGTCTTTGGTGATGATAACTGCTAGTGAGACTAATTATTCATTATCTTCCAGACTGCACTAGTCTCCACCAGACTAACAGCGAAACTTAATAGCCAAATAGCGAGAAAAATTAGCCAGGGGAGTTTGGCCACCACTGAAGAGGTCATTTCCACTCAAAAGGCCACACCAATTTAATTTCTTGGTTAACGGATTTTTCTAGAAAAATAATGGAGGGGGCGGGCGAAAAAATAACAAAAATAAAAACAGGCCTAGGCATCCTATCATGGCCCAAAATGGTACAATAGGAGCCATGAAGTCAACACACCAGGCTGGTTCAAAATTTAAACAATGAATTTTGAACTTTTAATGATGCCACTGCATTGAAAGATGGACTAACTGTAACAACTAGGATGAATAGGACTGTTTTCAACTGTTCAGAGCAAAATATGAGCCTTTTGCACTTGATTCTGAATTTTTATTTTTATTTGCAAATCAGAAAAAAATGAAGCGGGCGAATCCGTTAACCAAGAAATTAAATTGGTGTGGCCACTCTCCTGGCCAATTATTTCAAATTATCCACCAATTATCCACTTTTGTATGCTGAATTTTAACGTCCCTACCCCTATAGGAAGGCCTGGTGGAGGCTAACACTGCACTACCCTCCCTCCCCTCTTGTTACTAATCACTGTCCTTCCTGCATGACAACTCATATAACACTTCTGCACCTGGTCTTCCTTGCTGTTTATATTAGGGCTCTACACTGCATGGCTCCTCCCTGCATCTATCGTGGGACTCATGGTTTTTCTTTATGGTGTCCTGACTATAGGTACCAACACGCCTGCGTAAGTGTAGACTGCCTCCTACATTGTCAGATCACCATATCTCACATTCTATGGATGATGTCCATGATTTTTATGTTAGGCAAAGAAACAATAAGTGTTTGCTTGTAACACTAAAATTGGACAGGACTCATATAGTTTTTTATTTTACAATGATTCCGGTCCTTCTGAAAACTTTAGGTCTTTCCTCCTATTTAAGTTATTAATAAAGTGAGATCAAAGAATATTGGCACTGTCAGTAACAGGTAACATTATGCACAACAAAACTAGACAATCATCTTGAATTTTTCAAATTTTAGAAGAAAATGATTTTGTTCTTAGACTATTTCACATCTCAGCATCTTGGTGATTTGAAGAACACCGTACTGTCTGATCCTAAAAGACGACTTCACACGAATGAAGGATAAAGATTCGGTTTCTTTGAAGACTATCATCCACTGAAGTGACTTAAGGTGGTCTGATGTATTAGGATGGCTTGCAACAGATTTTCAGTAGTCTACTGGATGTTACAGAGCTGGGTACCAAAATGGTTCTTCACTATCAGAAATGTGACTTTAAAAACTTCAGATTTTTTAGAAAAAAAAAACATTATAAAGGTCCTTATGAAATAAAGACTAAGCTTTAACTTCCAATTCTAACTACAAAGAATTGGGACTTACCCAAATTTTCGGTTGACTTCATCAACCTTGTTCACGGAATGGACCCATTTACTCTTGGAAATTAGGTTTAAAGTGGATTCAAAAACAGGGAAAATTTTGGGTAAGTCTCAATTCTTTGTAGTTAGTGTTGGAAGTTAAAGCTAAGTCTTTATTGTACCAACACTCTCAGATGAACTTTCATGCTATTATAAAGGTCCATTTCAATTTCTAGGTGAGGGACTTTGAATAAGAACTAAGAAGATGAGTGAAGACTGGTTGCCAGCTCTGTTAGATGTTGTGTTGTTGCCGTGTTGTTTAACAGATTGTTGTGTACGTGTGCATTATCGTGAACAGGTCTGTACACTGCCAACTTGATCCCTGCCGCTGTGGTAGGGCTGCTAGTGTTCTTGTATGGGGTGGTCACAATGGGAACTAACGTCCCTGCGTAAGTCCCTCTTTCTGTTCTCCAGCACTTTTCTTTGTTTTTAGGCAATGAATGATTACCATTACATGTTTGTAGATAGATGAGAGGGATAAATCTCCTTGAGTACTCTAGCGGACAAAAGAGTACTCAGCACAAACGAAGGACAAGACCAAAAGAGAGCTAGGAGAGATCTGTCCCCATTAGAAGAGACTCCAAAGAGAACTGCTGTAGATTCCTTCTTGACACCTATGTTTGGACCCCCCTCAGATACAGTCTATTGTTTTGAACAATAGATAATTAAATGGGGATTAGCGTCTAACCCTAACAATGACATAAAAACAACAACACGGCAGCCATGTTTTCACAGGTGATTTTGAAAGAGACTTTTCAAACAATGGGAAATTTACGTAATAAAACAGTCGTAAAAAAAAGAGACTTGTAAGAGAGTGGAAGAGATCTGAGATAGAATTTGGGAGAACAATGCCTAATCCAAAGAGAACTGCTGAGTACTCAATTGTCCGCTAGAGTACTCTAAGAGATTTATCCCTCTACTAGTTATGTATATGTGCACTACGTCGATTAAGGTAAGACATCCAGGTAATACCATACGCAGTTACTCAAGCAACTGGATATGATTTTGGAAACGTCTACAAAATCATATCCATATCCAGTTGCTTGAGTAGCTGCTTTTTGGCGTATATGTGCACTAGCTTGAGGAATGGACCAGAAAGGTTTGTCTGTTTGAAAAGGAAAAAGGAGAAGCTGTGTGAAAAGATTTTTTTTTTAATCATTCTGTTTTTAGCCAAGATTCTTAATTCATTCAAATATGAACTTTCAAGTGAAACTTTCTCAGTCTACATTTAGCACTTGAAAATATTAATTTTTTTTCTGCATACCTGCTCTGGTGCAGGCAACATTGAAAGTTACCTGCAAAGGAAGGTTTTACCTGCACCACAGTCCAGAATTTAGGAAGTATGGATCACACTAAAAACTGTTCAGATTGCCATTATTTCTCTTACACTTCATACATGTACATGTCTAGGTGGTGACAGTCGATACATGTTAATGAAAATCCAAATACATGTACACCAACTTTTGAATGTAAACTCATTACATGGACTGGTGCAGGTAGACATCAGAAATGCCTGCATAGCTCCAAGTGTTTTTTTCGAGTCTTGCTACATGTACATGTAGTGTCTACTCTCACATTCCTTCCTGAACCGTTCCTTAGTGAGCTTCTTTCACATTGTTTAAAGCAACTGAAAAAGACTGTTGACTGTTAAAGAACAAAGTTTTGTCCTGGACGTGACCAATTCATAATGGCACTTACTTGATAATGTTATATTGTTGGCTGCTCTTCCCAGTTTATAAAATTTCATCAAAATTAAAGATTTTTTAGACACTTGGTTCAGCTCAAGTGAAAAAAAATTGTTCCTAGAACCAACATAGAGTTTAACTCACCGTCTCCAAGTACAGTTGGGGCATTATTACTGGGCTAGGTATAACAGCCAGCTGCCACCGTGCCGCGTGCCTGCAAAGCTGGTGTGCTATGGTGAGGAGCAGTTATACCAGATAATGCAGATACAGATACAGAATTGAATACAGGTCCTCTATTTTATGCAGCAAGTTTAAACTGTAATTTCCAGCACAAGAAATTGGACTCACCCAAATTTTCGACTGTACAACTCCAGTCTTTGTCAAGGAATGAACAATCCACCACTTCCGTGACGTCACGCAGATAACACATGTGACTCCGTGAGCAGTGGATCATAGGTTGCAGAAAGTCTGTGGTGCCCCCCGTCTCTGTTGAGGGATGGTTGTAATACCCTGATGGTTGTAATGCCAACCATCCCTCAACAGAGACGGGGCTGCTTAAACTTGATGTGTAAAATAGAGGATCTCTGGATCTGTATTCAATTCTGTATCTGTATCTGCATATCTTTCTGGTATAACTGCTCATCAGCATAGCACACCAATTTCTTGTGTTGGAAATACAGTTTAAACTTGCTGCATAATGACTTCTACCAACACAGATGAACTTTCAAGATAAGATCCTCTATTTTTTTTAGTTTACTGACCACCCAATGTGTTGATTCTAACAGGAGAGAGGTGTGTAACAGTGGTGGGGACTTTGTGATGTGCCCTCTATGTGACGAGAACATCGGCTGTGCTTACTGGAACTTGTCCGACACATGCACACAGGCAAAGGTATTTGGGAGAGATGATAACCTAACTTTCAGGCAATATGTTTTACTTATTGTCTGCATGTTTGTTTGTTAAGGCCATGTTGATTTGATTATATGGATGACATCCGCGCGCGCATGAATTTTCGGCCGTTTCCAAAAAAAAAAAGTTTTCAACCATACTGTAAATGGTAAAAAAACAGTTGCAAAATGAGCAAAAATATACCATAAGTTACAAAAAAAATAAATAAAAACCATACCAATGTCGTAGAATGCCAAAATCAAA